AACGGTTCTGCAGAATAAATTGCAATGGATATTGGTTCAGAATAGTTCCAAGTTGAGAAAGTTAAACAATCGGCCAAGTGCTCGTTGCGAGAAACAGTTATGAAAGTTTATTTTAGGTCCATAAACCTATAACTGAAGGTGTTTTTTTCTACGGAATTTCGGCATCCTGATATCAAACTGCACTCTTCCAAAGGATTTGATAAAACTAACCACCTCAACATCATCCGTTTCTTCGATAGCTGTTAGCGGTGCTTGCAAAAGAGTTGACTCCACGGTAACATCGTCATTGGATTGTGAAAGTTCTATATTTGGGTTCATAGTAGCACATTCTTGATAAGAAAGGTGCTTTCCGTTGCAACGCTGAAACTTATTCGTTCATGAAAAATCTGTTTAATCACTACAAATCACTAATATGATGGAAACTACTTTATTGCAGAAGTTTTTGAAGGCAATTACAATTGCTGTTTGTTTCATTTGCTCAGGTGACTGATGAAATGAAATATCATCGAAACAGAAACCTTGAATTCTGGAATTTTGAAGTTCCTGCTGACACTAACGAAGCGATAGCTACCGAACTGAACCCTCGGTCGACATTTCACCGAATCGTAGGTGTACTTGTTAACCTTACATCCAGTAGCATTATCCGTCGAATTCATAACCGATATCGAAATCTTGCAAAACAAACATTGTGAAATGATATTGATAGAAACAATAGAAGAATAGAAATTCGCAAGTAATTGCAAGATTCACATAACTGCTTCATTGTTAATAAGTCATTACTATGGCAAATACGTGCATTAGCTGATCATAAGAATGAGCGAACATTTATACAGCTGAATTTACCGCAAAGCAAGAGAATAGATAATGATATGAGCTGTTGAAAATTTTGAAATTAATACGAAATCTGTAAGATTATCAACTAGGACATGAGAACAATTATGTGATCAATAATTAAATAGACCATCTGAAATGATACGAATAATCGCTGAAGAAATGCACGGATAATGCTACTGGATGTNAGACCATCTGAAATGATACGAATAATCGCTGAAGAAATGCACGACGGATTTTTCTTATCGCAGAAAAAATAGGCAATCGAATTTCCGACTCTAATACCAAATGCATTCAAAACGACGGATTTCGCGCACTTCCTTCCGATTGCGAACCTAACGAACAGAGATTCGGTCTATTACATAAGTTAGCAGTTCGTCGAAGAAACAATCGCTGAGAGACCCATTTCAATCAAATTCAAACCAAATCATCGCTGGCAGTGACCACTACGACATAAACATTTTCACGACAAAACAACGAACACTTAAACACCAAAGAAAGAGATTTTCAAAACGCAAAAAAAACGTTTTGAAAAAAGATAATGATTCATGAAGAAAGCGAGTTACCTTTCGCAATGAGCTTGAAGCTGACTGGGCGATTGCAATCCTTTACTCATGGCTCAAAAATCTTTTTCCACACATCGCCTCCACTGAAAATTCAATTTGAGTGGAAAGGTCAGTTGATTAAGTGCACAGAGTGAAGCTTCTCGAGCGAAGCTTCATGATTTTTATGTCAAATTCACATGATCTATTATCACTCTCCTATCTTACTTCAAACACTG